GCTGATATCTGCAATTACAACGGCAACCCTAAAAAATTTCCATTTACACTGATACAATCACTTTTTTCTCATTTTTACTCTTTTTTTTGTAAGTAAAAACGTTTGTACTTATTTCTGCAAAAAAAAAAAAAGGAACCAATCTTAGATTAGAAATTCAATTTTCTATTTATTGACTCTTTTTTTTTTTTTTTTCAGTTACAGTTGTACTCAGAACAGAACATAAATGAAAGCGTTATAAAAAAATATTAGAAAATGCTTCAAAAGTATACACCCGTAAAAGCGACAAAGAAAAAAGAAGACCAGTCAAGCACAGCAAAAAAATGGAAACAAAGAATTGAAAGCAGATTTACAAATTTTGATAATAATCTGCAATCTGAATACTTTACTCCAACAATCAACAAAAAAAACGACAACAACAACAACAAAAAAAAACTCTCCTTTCAGTTGCATAAACTAAAGTTTCAAAAAAAAAAAAACAACCAAAGGTATTAAAGGAAAAATTTTTATAAGAGCGTTGCCATCCGGCTCTTTTTTTTTTCTTCAATGTTTTAATAGTAATATTTATCGTCTTGTCTAAATCTTTTGAATTGGAAGCCAAAATTATCAGTGCCATCATCATCCAACAACGACAGCGTTAAGTTATCCTAAGTAATCGAAAACAGCAACGAATAACTGACAATAACGACAACGGCAACAATAAAAAACTAAATTAATGAATCTATCAGCTGAAAGCGAAAGCAATTAACTTCTTTCTATTTTGATGCCATAACCATCAAATTACATAAAATTTTTTCAAAAGACAATTTTCTGCAATAATTTTGGGTTTTTACTTTGCCTCTGCTAAAATTGAACAGTTTTAATAGCGCAAATAAAATTTGTAACTCAATTCAGTAACTCACCTTCCACATTTTCAATTCCTTACTCTTTTGACCTCTCCCATTCCCCTGGTCTTTCTTTGTAATAAGACTAAACAGCTTTAAAACGGCTGTATACAAGACTGCAATCATATTAAAACAGTAAAAAAAAAAAACAAAAAGACTGAAACGATAAATTCTAATAGTTTTCTCAAAAGCACAAGAAAGTGATGAAGAAGAAAAAGCTAAGAAAAAAAGAATAACGAAATAAACGTAAAGACAAAAAAAAAAAAAGGACAAGAAAAAGAAACTAGAAATTAGTAATATGAAAAAATTGTTTAGTAAAATTTCTAGTTTTTCTCTTTAAAAATTCTTCTTTTACTTATTTACCTGTAATTATACAGGTAAAAAAAAACACTAAATGAGCTAGAATAGTTTGCTAATAGTCTCATTGAAATAGATATAGCATGAAAGCTTAGGATTACAATCCACGCTTTTATTTATAATCAGTAACCGTCTATTCTCCTCATTGTTCAATAAATTACTTCATAATTAAGTTCGATGCCCGCTCGATAGTGGTTAGCAGACAGATGAAAGACACAGCGAAAACAAGTAGAAATAAAAATCATAAGAAAATAGAAAAATTGAAGAAAAAAATTACTGAAGTCTACCGTACAGGCTTTTTTTTTTTTTTCTGCATTTGTATCAAACAATTACCTATATCATTGCTTTTTGCTAAACTACACAAAGCAATTTCTTGTTCCATTCAAATTTTATTTTAATTCAAAAAATTCATCAGAAAGAATAATTGGTGCAAAATGACGACGGCAACCATGGAAGAGTAGGAAAAATTAAATTGCTGTCCGATTCACTCATTCATACAATTCTTCGTTCATCCAACTGTTTCCTTGAATGGTCTCACGAGACTATTAACCCTCCTCCCTCTTCCTTTCCCTCCTATTCTCAGTCTATCAACAAAACTTGCTGTTTCCTTATTGCAAAATAAACTAGCGGGTTATTGTTTCCTCTATAAAAGAGTATCTGTAAATCTCATTAACTTTACAACCAGTACAACAATAAAAACCAATTTTTTTTTGCTTACAATAGTGACAGTACATACACTGTTGAAGAAGTGGTAGTAAAAAAATGCATAAAAAACTAGAATTCTAAGAATTTGTTTGTCAACAACCATCATCATCGTCATCTTAACATCAACTTCTGAATTCCCACAAATACAAAAAAAAACTGTCACGAAGCACATAATAGCTGCAGCAAAATCAATTGATTATAGGGTGTACCAGCGCCACAATCAGTACCAAAAAAACAACAACAGCAACAACGAAAATACTACTAAAAACAGTAACAATAAAAGCACCAGCAAAAAGTAGCATCAGATTTATTCATACTGCTAAAATATCATCAAAAAACATTGGCGAAAAAAAAAATCAAATTGGTAACTTCCTTCTTTGCTCAAACAATAATATGCACCTTTAAAAAGCAAATTTGATACACTATATGACGTAATCCATATCAAAATCATCATTAACTTTTTTATTTATTCGCGCATAAATTATAACTGAAAAAAAATTATCGCGTTATCATATTTAAATCTTTTTTTGCTATGCAAAAGAAAATAAATGAAAAATAAATGAAAGAATAAAAAAATAAAAAGAATAGAAAACATAGAACAAAAATCTTCGAACTTCTTGAGCAATTCTAAGAAAAAACCTTATCCTTTTCCTCAGATTACTATATCCTCAAAAAGAAACTCTTCAGCATAATTTATTGTCAAAAAAGAGTACAGAAAACATTCACAAAAATCGTGTAAATTTTTTTTTTCTTTTTTTGGATAAATCACCTACCAAACGATGATCTGCGTGAAATAGGCAGCAGTCTAGTTTTGTACAACAGTAAAAGATCAACAAATCTTCAGTTGTCTGAGTAAGCCAACGGTAGCATTAGCAGCAGAAGAAGCCGACAATAATCAAGAAGTAAACAGAGGCGAACACATTTTTACCCCTCTCTGGTCGATTAGTTGTCTATTATTGTCTGAAAAAAAATTTTTTTTCCTCTATTTCATCCCCCCCCCCCATATATGTGTGCATATTCAATGCCCTTCCCCAGTTGGTCGATTATTATTGCCAAAAATTGTTTGTTTGCTTTCAACCGACAATGATGAGCAATCTTTTTTGGCCGTATAACAACAAAAACGTCAATGGCAACAGCATTAGCAGCAGCAGCAGCAGCAGCAAAAACAACAACAACAACAACAACAAAAACACTGACAATAACGGCAACAACGATGACAAGATTACCACCACCTGATGGACAGTAAAAAACGATAAAGTGAAGAGACAAAAAAAACGGGCATACTGACTGACGGACAAATGTTGAACAGGCAAATTGGATAGTTGAATGAATGAATGAATGAATAAATGGATGAATGAATGAATGAATGAATAAATGAATGAAAGCAAATGATACACGAGAAAAAAAAAAGATTTGGCCATTGATATATAGAGTAAAACTGTTAACCAAAATCGAGATTGTTCATAAAAGGAGAGAAAAAGAATACTTAAAAGGAAAAAAGTAGCACTTTTTTCTTGTCCCTTTTAATACTGAATAGTAACAGTTGTCGAAAAAAAAAAAGAGAGAAAACTGTGAGTAATTTGGTTTATTTGTAATTCCTTCTTCTCTTCATTTTTCTTTTGCTCACTTTTTCCATTTTCCTTTCATTCGTTCATTCGGTTTTATTTTTTCA